CCCACGTGGTGATGCTACCTGGTGGTAGGTAGTACAGTCAGTCCTTTGCAGAATCTTTCAAGGAAAAGAGGAATGCCCTCATTTTTATCTGCTCTTCTATGATTCCCGAGGGTTTCATACTATTGCACAAGACATCAAACTCTTGCAAATGCTTATAAAGCTCCTCATCTGGTAAACCATGAAAAAATGGTAGAAGGTAAATTAGACCAGATTTTAACTCAAATGGAGTGTTATCATTTAAAGTGGGGAAAGTAATGCATAAGGGCTGCTGATTTAAATCAGGTGCAGCCAACTCCCTTAATATTTGTGTATTAGCCATGGTGCCTTCCTCCTGGTCAGAGTCACTCGAAGTGTCACCAAACGAATCTGTTGGTTCAACTTCTGACTCAGGTCTCTGAGATGCAGCACTGGAGTGCTCCTCTCTGAGCTGTCTGGTCTCTTTTCTTGTCCTACGCGCAGTCTTCTCTTCCTCGGGATCGAAAATTAATTCACATATATGAGAAGAACGAGGCATACACTTGAAAAGCACCAGAAAATTAGATAAAAAATGAATTTAAAAAGAAACAAATAATAATGCTAATCCCCGGCAACGGCGCCAAAAATTGACAGGTTGTCAAAGCCTGTACAATAATAAAATTAAACCTAATTACCAGTGAAAATAACCAAAATCCAATTTCAAATACTGGAGCAGGGACTCTAGGTGTGCAATGGGTTACTTGATTCACCCTGTTTTCAAAGAGTTTGCTTGATCCGATATACCCGAATGAGATGATTTTTTCACAAATAATTACAAATTTGTAGACAGGGCAAGTAGGGTCATATCCTCAGGGATTGGGGATATTTGTCTCTTAAGAAATCCAAAGTAACAAAGGGGGGTGTTTTTGTAGAAACGATGACAATCAAAGAAATTCAAATAAGAAAATAAAAATAAATAACTAACTAGAAATTAAATGGCAATTCACTAAACTTAATGTAACAATAATTAACGATCCAAAACAACTAGAACAAGAAGACAATTAAAAATAAAATAAAATAGGCAACTAAAAATCAAACGACAATTCACTAAAATCAAGGTAATATTAATTAACGGTCTGCAAGAAATAACTTCAGCAATGGTTCACCTAATTGATCATCAATGCAATGGCAATTCCAATTATCTATCAATAAATAGGTTATAACTACCAAACAAGCGATGGCAATCAACCCCTCCTTATTATGTCGGTGATTAAGGTTGGCCCGTTAATCACTGCTCTAATTAGGAAGTAATCCTAAGTACGCCCGTAAGATTTAATTCTCCAATTGCCTTACGTATTAGAGGAGCCCTATTCTAACCAAATAACGCACTACCAGGGTTATCTCAAATTAGCTCGCGTATCCCCCTGACACGAATCTAATCGTGCCAGTTGTCACTATTTCAGGACAATTAAACAATTACGGATTTAATGCCCTAATTGACAATAGGTTACCAAATCAATTAATTATCCGTATCCAAGACAATCAATTAATTAAATAACCCTAAGTATAGCAATCAAGGAATATGCGAATACCAATAAATAAAAGAAAAATATTAAATTAAATCGATCTCACAATTTTTAGGTGAATCAGAGCCTCCGTTGCTCCTTGACTAGAGTGGTGAAATTAGTTCATGTTTGATGAACTAAGTCCACAGGAAGTTGAAACAAGAGTTGCGGCCATTGTCACAAAAATTGGGAAATGCAATTCGCTCCAATCATGAAAAGATAGCAAAGTTACAAGAGGTAACCCTTTGTTTCACTTCGAATGACATACGAAGAAAGGAACGTAAATACTGAAAGTTCAAAAATGAAGTAAAGTCAAAAGCCAAGAATGGCTTAGGGGTCCTCACATTCGTAAGTCCCCAAAGCCAAAAAGTAAGTCCAAGGGAAAAGTCAATAGAAATTCATGCTAAGCTAAAGACGAGAAACTAAGAAGAAATCAAGATTCCCCTAGTCCTCTGCTATTCTCTCGTTTTTATCTCCTGCCTCCTTTCTTTCTTTTTTTTTTTTTTGTGCGGCGGCTCCACCCCAGGAAGAAGAAGCCCTTCGTCTGTCATTCCTTTGCTGCAAATTACCGAAACGGACGTGATATCTTTTTTTTCAAAAATGCCCTTGAGACAAGCTCTATCGTCTGGACTCCTTTTTTGTCAAATTGGTACCTGTTATTATATTTTCATTCTATTCCCTGAAATAAATGTAAAATACTAAAAGTGAGTAGAATCCAGCAATAAATCCACATCAGGTCAGGTAATAGGGGAAATTAATAATAAAATAAATGAGAAAATTGTATCCTATAAGGCTTAGACATGCTAACCTTTGGATAATTCTCAAAAGTTAGAAAATCTTTAATGGTCAATCTGTTTCTGTAGTAATGATCCTCAAACTGTCAATAAGGATCATCAGAAAGTCTTGGTAATGATGGCTTTTCACAAACTTTCGATAAGTTGGGGCATGAAATTTTTCCAAGCAGCTCGTACAGGCCAGTTGATAGTCTTGAGCAATCAAAAATACAGACTAAAAAATTTTTTCAATTATGTAACATCTAGTTTCAAGGACAAGAAGCCAAGAAGAAAAGAGATAATTTGTAGTAACATAGTAGGTAAATTCTTACTGCTAGACCTCGTGACTGAAACGGCAGATTGACAGTGTGTAAGCTCAAATGATAAGGATATATATCAAGTGTTGGCTATTTAAGACTGTAATACGAAAGAAATAAGTGCCATCATAAACATTTCTGTCCAAGATACTAGCTTTGCAATTTGATGAGCAATTAATAGCCAGCGCAGATTTCCAGTTAAACCTTGAGCCTAAGATCACTGCAAAACAAAAAATTCGAGCTCAGACATTATGTAGTCAACAAGAGATCTAACAAGACAATTCAGATAATTTCGTGAAGCTATTGTTTTGTCAATCCTACAAAAACAAAGTGTGGAATAGAATATTAATAGAGTTATAATAATACATCAAAGCACGGAACAGGATAGGTGCTTGGTTTCATGCTAATTGATGGTTACAAGAGTATTATGCTGTTAGGAGTAAATGAAAAGCACCAATATGTTGGACCTAATAAGATATGCTATTGTCGTAGCTTTGAAAGATAACAAACAGGACAAGAAAAAGGAAGAAGAGAAAATTCTGAAGAATAACCATGGGGAACTTTTTAGTTTTTCTGATGAGAAGGTTAATCAGAGTAGGAGGTGAAGAGAAGGCAAATCTTAAAACAACAAAGAGATTGATTATAAGACGAATTAAGAAAGTAGGTAGGAGGCAATCTTACATGATTGAATTTGATCTAAAGAAAAACTCTTGACCCACTTATGTGTAGGTGTTGAATATGAGAAACTTTGGACCACTGGGAGTCGGGGCCGCTGCTCTCAGGAGTGCATCTTTCTTTTAACAGAGGAGAACCATAAATGCTCAGATCTTTTAGTTTGGTGAGACTTCTCATGGCATCCCCATAGGGTAAATGTCGAAACTCTTTAAAGTCAAATAAATGCAGTTCTTCAAGAGCAGCAAAGTTTCCGAACCAATCTGGTAGAGCTTTTATACCTCCAAACTGACCCAGCGATAGTGATGTTAGAGTGGTCAAGTCTTGGAGCTGATGTGGCATGGACTCCATGTGTGGCAACCCAAATAAGTCTAATCGACGGAGTCCAGATGACGAAGAACTGTAGGATATCAAACCAGACCAATCAAATTCATTGTAAATTGAAGAATTTTCATGATCATCATCATCATCATCATCTGAAAAGGGACCAATTTTAAGCTTCCTGAAGCTGGTTAGGAAATGAAATCCTTTGGGCGTCATACTTGTTTTGAGTTTGGGACAGCAGGATAACCTCAGATCCAAGAGAGAAGGCGTTTGTTGCAAATCAAGTGGAAAGGAAATAAGACTATAGCAAGCATTCACTCGAAGCTTCTCGAGGGAGGGACAAGACTGTAGCATGTTACTGGGCAGATTCGTCAACCCACAGCAACCCCAAATCACCAGCTTTTTAAGAGACATAAAGTTTTGCAGGGGAAGGAGTTCCCTACATCTGTCGCACCAATAAAATTTCAAACTCACTAAATTGGGGAGTGTTGTTGGCAAATCCATTAACCATCGAGGAAATTGATCACCCATAAAACACAGAATTACCAACTCCTTCAAATTTGGGTGAGGCCGAAGGCCATCTAACACATCTTTGTCGTAGTTGTAGTTGTTGCCTTCTCGACTCCAAATGCATGGCCACTCAAGTTGCAACGTAAGTATATTTGCCTTTTCACCAAGATTTGCTTCCTCAGATCCTTTCCTATCCTTGAAGATTGTGTATCTCCAATTTGCCTTTGAGGTTTTTCAAGCATCCAAGCTCTCCAATTGTCTACCTTTCTCTCGACCCACATTAAAGAACTCTAGTGTCTGAAGGCAAGACAATCGTCCCATCTCTAGCGGCATTTGAAAGTTTTCATCACTTGTGTAATAGTGGAGATGTCTCAAACTAATCAAATTGCACATCCCCTTTGGAAGATCTTTAACATTTGGGTCACTTAGCGTCAATGTCTGCAGATTATAAAGCTTGCAAAGGGAGTCTGGCAAAATCCTGATTGCAGACCGCCAAAGGTTAACATACCGCAAATGTATCAGTTTGCCAATTGAGATTGGTAGCTCTCGAGTTCTTGAATCAGACAAATTCAAAGAATACAAGTTCTTCAACTTCATTAATATATTACCAGAAAAGTCACCCTTTACAAACAATGTATGAAGCGAAGTTGATACACTCTCCAAAAGTTTTTCTCTGTCTTCTCCACCACCAAATGAGTTTGTTGCAAGGTAATGAATCTGATTACCATTGTCTACCACATGTGTATTCGAATCATTAATGACTTTGGTAGACTTTGACATTGACTCAGCAAGGTTGTGCACCAAATCATGCATCTTGTAACATGTTTTCCAACCATATCTTATTTCTTCAAACAATGAACTCTGCAATAATATTGCTAGATAATTCATTCCAATTCCTCCATCATCATTTGGCTATTGATATCTGCTTGGAGGAAACCTTCTGCCATCCAAAGTTCGATAAGCATATTCCTTTCTATCTCACTATCCTTAGAAAATATAGAACAATATGCAAAACATTTCTTAATGTATGGAGATGGTAAATAATCAAAACTCAACTTAAGTATTTGCATCACACACTCTCCATCTGCACTCAAACTCAAAAGCTTATTCTCTAGAATTGGTTGCCATTCCTCTTTTCCCTTTAAACAAAACAGACCTCCGATTATACTTGCAGCTAGTGGTAGACCATCACATCTTTTAATTACTCTCTCTTTAATTGCTTTTAGTTCATCAGGATCTTCTTCCCCTACAACTACTTTTTCTTTTAGGATAGACCAACAATGATCATCAGGTAGTTTTCCTAAGGAATAGCATTCATCATCCATCCTCAGAACTTTCGACACAGTATCTGCCACTTGATTAAGACGCGTAGTGACAAGACACCAGCTTCCATCGGTTGGATTGAGCCCCTTCAAGGTGGTGAAAAGGTCATCCCACAATGCCTGACTATCATCCTACACATCATCAAGAACAAGGAAATATCTTTTTTCCTCAAGTTGATTCTGAATTTTTCCAACAATGACATTCCTATCATCTACTTCAACTTTTTCTTTCATCAATTGCACTAATATGAGTTTGAAAAGCTCCTCTATTGGAACTTTTTTCAATACACAAACCCAAATCTTTTTCTTAAAGTGCGCATTAATTTGCTTGTCGTTGTATATCGATTTAGCCAAAGTTGTTTTGCCTAAACCTCCCATACCAGTTATGGGAAGAATAGAAACAACCTTCTTAGATGGGCTCAACAACATCTCCACTATCTTTGATTTGTCATTGTCTCTTTCAATCATTGGAGCAACAACAGAGTCGGTCTGCCGACTTCTTGTGTCTCCGACAGCAGCAGGGAGGGCAGCTGCCATCACTAACCTACTAACCAGTCCCAATCCATTGGCTTCTTGATTTATCTCATTCAACATAAGTTTGATGTCCCTGATCTTAGAAGCCATTCTCCAACGAAAAGCAAGATTAATGTTAGAGAAGGAGAAGAAGCAGCATACCTTTAGCTTGTGTCAGTTCCGGGACTCCACCTGGTGACGAAGAGATTCATAGTGGAGCTCATCCAACAAATTGATAGCCTCATAAGCTACCTCCTTGAGACTCTTCAACCATTCTTGTACTGCTGCGTCCTGGTTTTGCTTTGTTTCAGCATCAGCCAAGACAACATTGATGAGGCGGAGAGAACGTGTCATGCTGGCCACGTCCTTCTTGAACTCAACTAACATACCAATCCTATCAGAGGCAAGAGACAGTGCCCTTTCTAAGGCAACCTGAATTGTGGAGCTGATAAGAGCGTCAGCCATTTTTTTAAAAATAACTTGAATTAGGTCTCGAGATCAAGATGGATTTTTTAAATGGGAGGTTTTAGCAGCCAAAAATTGGTAATCTTACAAGTGGTTAAAGAGAGAAGAGCATTGATATTTGGTCGCTTAAAAGTGCAGAGTTATTCTTAACTTGGATGCCTTCCTTTGCAATGGAAATATAAATTCCTTGCTTGGCATCTTCACTTTAAATTTCATGGGTAACTTGGATGCTTTGAAATGTAGATTCCTGGCTTGGCATTTTCCTTTTAACTTTCTTGTTAGGGCCTTCATCTTTATTCCATTGAGGGCTAACAATTACATTTGCTGTTTGTTTAACATATATTTCATTCGTTAATCCTTGAAAGATGAACTTGGAACATAATTTGGTCTTAATTACTGATCCTTGGGATTTAGGCTTAAAACGGACACCTTATTCTGTTGCTTCCGCACTAGCTCTGTTGGATTTTGCTTCTTAGCTAGAGACATATATTAAATGAATAGTCGCCTTTTGTCTCACTAAAGTTATTGTTTGGAAAAAAAAAATATAGTCAACACAAAAATCTAGTAGGCTTCTAATTATTTTTGACAGGGTGTCGAAACCTGTGCAATAATAAAATTAAACCTATTTGCCAGTCGAAATGACCAAAACCCAATTCTAAGTACTGGAGCAGGGACTCTAGGTGTGCAATGGGTTACTTGATTCACCCTGTTCCCGAAGAGTTTGCTTGATCCGATATACCCGAATGGAATGGTTATTTCTTTTCACAAATAATTATGAATTTGTAGACAGGGCAAGTAGGGTCGTATCCACAGGGAATGGGTATATTTGTTTCTTAAGAAATTCAAAGTAACACAGGGGGTGATTTTGTAAGAACGACGACAATTAAATAAACTCAAATAAGAAAATAAAAATGAATAACTAACTAGAAATTAAACCACAATTCACTGAATTTAGAATAGCAATAATTAAAGGCCTAAATCAATTAAAACAAGGAAACAATTAGAAATGAAATAAAGTAGACAACCAAAAACCGAATGGCAATTCACTAAAATCAAGATAATATTAATTAAAGATCTAGCCAAGAAGTAACTTCAGCAATGGTTCACCAAATTGATCATCGAAGCAAAGGCAAACCCAATTATTTATCAATAAATAGGTTATAACTACCAAACAAGCGATGGCAGTCAACCCCTCCTTATTGTATCGGTGATTAAGGTACGCCCGTTAATCACTGCTCTAATTGAGAAATAATCCTAGGTACGCCCGTAGAATTTTAATTCCCCAATTGCCTTACGTATTAGAGGAGCCCTATTCTAACCAAATAACACACTACCAGGGTTATTTTAGATTAGCTCGCGTATCCCCCTGACACGAATCTAATCGTGCCAGTTGTCACTATTTCAGGACAATTAAACAATTACGGATTCAATGCCCCAATTGACAATAGGTTACCAAATCAATTAATTATCCGGATCCAAGACAATCAATTAATTGAATAACCATAAGCATAGCAATCAAGGAATATGCGAATACCAATAAATAAAAGGAAAAGATTAAATTATATCGATCTCACAATTTTTAGGCGACCCAGAGCCTTCGTTGCTCCTTGACTAGAGTTGGAAAATTAGTTCATAATTGATGAACTAAACCCCCAAGAAATTGAAGATAAAGCTGCGGCCATTGTCATTGATTTTTGAGAACTCAATCCGTTCCAACCAGGAGGAGATAGCAAAGTTACACGAAATGATCCTCTGCCTCACTACGGATGGCATATGAGGAAAGATAGAAAAACTCTAAGCATTTAACATGAAGAAAAGTCAAAAGCTACCAATTTCTAATGCCTGCCATGCGTATGACAAGCAAAAAGCAATTTTAGGGAAAAGTCAACAATCTCAAGCTAAGCTACAGACGGAAAACTAAAACTAAGCTCGCCCCCATCTGATCCTGTTTTCCCTCCTTTATTGCGGAGGCTCACCAGGAGGAAGAAGCCCTTCGTCCATCATTTCTTTGCGGAAATTACCAAAGTGGGCGTGACATTTTCTTTTCCAAAAATGCCCCTGGGACAAGCTCTATCATCTGGATTCCTTTTCTGTCAAATTGGCACCTGTTGTTATATTTTCGTTCTACTCCCTGAAATAAATGCAAATTATGAAAAATGAGTAGAATATAATAATTAATTCACATCGGGTCAGGTAACAGGGAAAATTAATAATAAAATAAATAGATAAATTGCAACCTATCAATTCCCCCCACACCTAAACCGTGCTTGTCCTCAAGCATAAGAATAGTGCACAGACCCCAAAATTTGATAATGGCCATTGCTCTATCCACCAAATTGCCAAGATATCAGGAAGAATCATATATCGAGCACTAGTGATTAAAATCCGAGAAGCATCCCCCCGGTTAGCCTCTAAACCATAAATTTCTTCAATTTCTAGATTAGCTAATCTAAGAAAAAAGGAATGGCACACCACATTTATCAGCTAATGGTCCAAATATTCACACGAGTCTCCATAATAAGTCCATAAACCGGCAAGCTTTCCTATTATTTATTCTCCCCCCCTTTTTTTTTCTTTCCTTTTTTTTCCGTTTTCTGTGTTTTTTTTATTATTTTTTTTATTTTTTAATAGCAATAATAATTAACACAAAAAGACTTAGTCTTTAGCCGTCGGGGCCTTTTGACGCGAACTCCAACATTTTTAGATGAAGGAGCCCGGTTACTCAGCTCCTACCGCTATATGACCACGTACTCATAGAAAGCACCACCTTTTGACGCGAGAATCGACACTTTTAGATGCAGATTCCCGGTTATTCAGTAGTAACTTAATAGCGGAGTACAGTCAAGCTTATTCACAGCCAAACAATGCAAAAACGCGAAATACCAACACTAGCAACTAAGCATAGGAGCAGCTCGCCTCATTATTGCCAAACATGGAGAACTGGAGTCAATATTGGACCAGTTCACATTAAAATGCCAACAGTCATTCCCAATGCCTAGAAAAGTTAACCAAGAAATCAAAAGAGTCAAGCAATCCGATATTCACCAAGGAGATATCTTGGACCCCACCACATTAGCCCGATACATGTTTATTTAAAAAGAAAAACTTGGCAAAAGTAGAATCAGAGTCAATAAACCAACATCATTTTTTTTTCATCCGCATGAGAGATGAGCACCCAAGCAGAAAGGAAGAAAATAAGCAACTAGAAGTAGAACTAGAAACTATTAAAACTAAAAACTACTAAAAACTAAAAACTATTAAAAGCTAAAAACACAGAAACTAAAAACTATTAAAAACTAAAAAGACTCTAGACCCCCCCCACACCTATAGGACACAGTGTCCTAAATGTGTCAAAAAAGCAGCAAAAGTGAGGGAGAAGGCAACGAAACTTCCCTGAAACCGGGTCATAGTGGGGGCGAGGTGGAAACGGAGGTGCAAAGCCTGTATGAAGCAGAAACTGCGCCAAATTCTGTGCTATGCCGGCGACATTGGCGTCCACGTTGACCATCCGAGCCTCCAAAGTCTGAACCTGCTCCCGGAGTTGCTGCCACTCAGTCGTCCCATGTGGTGGAGGTGGCGCAGAAGAAGATGGCCCAGCCGTGTCCTCGGCTAACCCAGGAAATAAGGAGGGCCCTGCTCGAGACGAATGGTGCGCACCCGGAGCTCTAGGTGGTCCCGGAGAGGTGAACTGGTAGGAACCATCAGGCAGGCGCTCGACGACTCTCATCTTCTCCAAGCAATCTACGTCCAAGAGCTCCATCTCGCACGCCAAATGTAAGTCGTGGTCCTCCAGGTTAAGAACCCCCAACTGTGTTGCCAAGTGGGTGATATAGGACCCAAGGATCAGGGGCTTGTTCTTTTTGGTTAAGACGGTCTGGAACTGCGCCGCCAACCAACACCCCAAGTTGACCTTGATGTTATTCTGCATACTCCAGATGAAGAAAAACTCGGGTCGAGAGAGAATCCCGGAGCTGTCCTTGCGACCGGAATAACTATAGGCTAAGAATCGCTGGACGTATCGGGCGCTAGGATCCCTAAGAAAGGAGCTCCTAGACCTAAAAGGGTCGTAGCGGTGCCGATCGGTGGACATTTCTTCCCATATAGTGCGGTAGCGGGAGAGAAAAGGCTCTACGTAATCACAGGCACTCTCACCATACTCTCTAGTCTCAGCATACTCCCGAGTAATGAACCCAAATGCCAGATTAAATTGGGTAATTGAAAAATTAAATTTCCGACCCATCAGACGAAAGCGGATGACATTGGGCGTCTCAACGGTGAACCTCGTGGGCAACTCAAACTCAAAGGTAGAATAAAACTCCCGAGTCAGCTCGACAAAGGCGGGGCATAAGATATCGAGATATGGGCGCCACCCGATGGTTGTAAACATCTACTCGACCTCCTCTCGTATGCCTAGGCCCACGACGGTTAATTTTTCCCAAGTTTTGCAAGGTGTAATACGCCGCTCACAGACCTTAGCATATCTCTGCTGATCGGCGGGTCTAGTGAATGTGAGGTGCCCTCCGAAGTGAGCTGGGGTATCCACCTGAGCACCCCTACCCCTACCCAAACGGGTTCGAGCACCAGAAGAGGAATGTAGGTTGGTAGGTGTATTCACAGGAATAGATGCTTGTGGAGGGGGTTGAGAG